AATAGGATTTGAATACTCTTAGATTGAATAGACCTTAAACATCAGCATAATAAATGAAAATATAATAATAACAACAACAATAATAATCACAATATTAGGATAATTAATTTGAATAAATTTAATAAAGAAATGAACACCAATCTGAAGAATCATCCAAAAATTCTGCTGAAAGAGATATAGATAATTAATCAATTGTCGATTTCTAAACAGAATTAGGAGAATAAGTTGAATAAGAAGATATAAATTAGTAAGTTCAACCAACAATTTTCTAATAACAAAGAATTGAAAATAATCAGCAACAATCTTAACTATAAGAATCTTAGTTATAATAATAACCTTCACAATCATCAAATACTCAAAGATAAGTTTCTGCTAATCCATTCCCTCCTAAATTAGAAATTACATATGTATAAGAATAAATGAATGGATAAGATAAAGGAAGAGCATTTCTCACAACTCCATTAAAATAGGATAGAACATTATAATGTTAAATTTAAAGAGATAAGAGTGGTCTTGCTAGACTTTATCCAGTTTATCATGTCTATACAACTGATGGAAATATCTACTTATTTAGTGCTAAGAAAGTAGTCATGAACACTACTTCAAATTATGTGATTTCTATGGATAAAAAAGAATTTTCAACCAGAAAACCATGTTTCTTAGGGAAAGTAAGATCTAATTTCCTTGGAACAGAATTCATATTATGGGATGAAGGAAAGAATTTTAAGAAATGCAAAGATACTAGTCAAATTAGAAATTAATTAGGAGTTGTATTCTATGAAAGTCATATCATGTAAAATAAATGTCCTAGAAAGATGAAAGTCTTAATACCTAAAGTTGGTGAAATGAATATCCCTAAAATATTCTAACCTCTTCATAGTAAAGAAGGCATATAATATGATTATCAATATAATAAACGTGAATTCATTGAGGAATTTGTAAATAAACCTCCTAGATGGGATACAAAAATGAAAGCACATGTTCTAAATTTTTTTGGAAGAGTGGATCAACCTTCAGTCAAAAATTTCCAATTAGTCAATCCTGAAAATCATTAATTCATTTATCTCTAATTTGGAAGAGTCAATGATCTTTAATTCAATGTTGACTTCTGCTTTCCATTATCACCTCTTCAAGCATTCCAAATCTGTGTGACATCCTTTGATTTTAAATTTGCTTGCGAGTGAAATTCATATTAATATATCAATATATAATTATATATGAAGATAAAACAAATCAATTATTTTCAAAGACACTAATAATTAATTATTATACAACTTAAAAGACATTTGTCTAATTGATTTTATTCAACCATATTATCATCTTATATACTAGAAATTTAAAATAGATAGTTTATTCAATATATAAAATCAAAATTTCAAAGGTAGAATTTAATTTGTAAATTATTATTATGTTGACTAATTATTTTTATTTATTGAAATTAATACTATATAGTATAGTAATTTAATTAGTTAAAATTATTCCATAATGTTTAATAATTAAGCTTAAGTAATGTTATCCCAAAATGAATTAATATGTAAACATCATATTTATATCGGAAGAGTTTAAATTATTGATAGATCCAAATTTATATCTATCAATATATGTTGAAAAATGATTATCATTTAATCTATGTATGAAATCAAATAATTTTAAATTTATTGAATTGAATTTCAATCCATTCATAATAATGATATTGTTTCTTTTTCATATTAATTTTTAATACTTCTTATACAAATTTAAATAAAATATTAATGAAACAGAAATGACTAGTAATTAAGATAATAAAATATAAAGATGAGTTCAATATATCTATGTATTCAAAAATAATTTGATTTGTTCAACCTATAAAAATAAAAGATCTTCTAAATACTTTTACTTTTAGTAGAACATCAATATGTCATAACTGACATGATCTATTTGGATTGTAATTTATTTTATATTCTTACTTTTAGTGAGATTTATATAAATATATATATATTAATAATATAAACAAATATAAATATAAAATTATGTCAGATCTATGTCAAAATTGTAAGCATCGATAACTCAAATAAAAAATGACAGGTAAGAAGTTCTCAATGCAAATCTTAAATTAGATTCAACAATTACGTTCTCCAAGAAATATTGAAACACCATTTATTAATGTTATTGATTACTTATAAAAAATACATAGAAAGAAAGATGATTATTTAGAATAAGATTAAGAATCAGAAAAACAATTACAATATAGTCGAATTCCAACTCATGTATCAAAATAAAAAACAGATATTTAAGTAGAAGATGCAACAACAACTACTTCTAGATAAATTTAATTTCCAGTTTCATTATTCATTTCAAGAGGAGCATCTGCTTCTAAAATTAAAAGTAGTGCATTTTACAAGATGAGATAAATGAGTTTAGGTTCTAGAGATAATAAAAGAAGACGTAATATTGAAATAGGACCTATGTTTAATTAAGTATCTAAATATGTCCATCCTATGAGACCATAAACTGTGAGAAGTTTTAATTCAAAAATGGATGATATTTTTAAATCAACATAAACTACTACTAGATAAGAGGTTATAAGACATAGTAAATCAGAAATGAATCTTAGATTGCCTGTCTCTAATAAATTAAGTGAAGTATAATCATTAATGAGAAGAGAATGAAAATTATAATTGATATATGTACTATATATAAAAAATTTCTCACTTTTTTATGTGTTTGGAATTATCAATTCATAATGATGGGAAATCCTTATCATCAAATTGAACTCCATTATTTGGTTATTACTAAAAATAAATTAAATAATAAATAATAAGTACTTATTTCTTTTATCCTTTATTATAATTATTATTATCTTTTCTATCATTTCTATCATTCTTTTCATTCCTATCATTTCTTCTTGTATCATTTGTAAATCCAAAATATTACTATCCCTCTGTACTCATTTCACTTCTATATCCCTATTATTACTAACCACTTGATTTCTTTGTTGCCTTCTATTCCTTCTCTCTCTTCTCATCTTCTCTTGTTCTCATCACCTATAATTTCTCCTTTTTCAATGCCTCCTCATCAATCTTTACTACTGGTTATACTTTCTATTTCTAATTTTTAAGGACTTCCTCCACATTCTATTTAAATTATTATAAATCATTCTTTACCACTCCTCTTGCTTAATAATAATCTGCTAATGTCTTCTCTGCTGGTGCTTGAGGTACATTTTCTTGAGGCTATTATTCTTCACCCTATTATTCAGTATTTTATTCTTATGGTGCTTCCTTTCCCTCAATTGCACCTTAGTATTTCTCCTACTTTAAATCATCCTTATAATTTCCCCAATTTCTTCGACCACCACCTTCTTTACGAAGTTCTTTTCCTATTCCTGTTCCAGAGTGTCTGTCCTTTGGATGAGGATCAGCTGTTAATCCCTTTTATTTTGGAGCTGGATTATGATGTTAAGTGCTTTCTTTCTTTACTTAATCTAGAGGAATCACTTATTCCTACTCACGCTTTTATTTATCTAATAAATTATGAAAGAAAACACTTACTCTTTTTAGCCTATTATTATTGTGTTTTCTATTGTGTCTATTGAGTTTTTGAATCCTCATCATCTGATATGTTGAGGACATTAAACATATTGGTGCTCATTTTAAAGATTTGATAACTTAATATAAATATGAATTATTAATTCAAATACGAATTATTACATTAATGATCACAATCACATAGACTTCTATAATTCATCATCAATAGATTTCTTATGTTCAATTAATATTATTGTCACTCTTAAATCACATAAATAAAGACTTGAAAAAATACATCCTATCTTTCATGAAATCTCAATAATTAGTGCGTATATTGGAGATAAGAATAGATAACAATAAATTGTCGATGATATACAAATATTTCTGCAATAATTAAATATTAAATACTTTTCATTCATTAAAATCATGTCAAGATAGAAATTTGAAGTAAATTTAATTATATAATCTAGTTCATTATTTATTTTAATCATATATATTATCATAAAAAATACATTAAGTTTGTTTATCAAATGAATGAAAAGTATTTGATTTGTCATATTGAATATATCTTTGGTATTCTTGAGAATCAAATTTGAATAATATTCAATAATCTTTATATTTAAGATCTTGTATTTTTATATTATTAGTTAAAATACTTTCTCTTACTTTTTCATGAATTACACATATATTTATTGTAAAGCAATTCCCAAATATTTTAAACAACTCTTTTATCTATAATGCTATACTATAAAAATTGTTAAAATCTATCAAGATAAATTGCAACCTTTTTACAAAAATAAATAGGGGCCTTTAAAAAGAAAAATGTGTCTTAATTTAAATTCTATATCTTAAAATAAAGTAAAAGTAAATTAGTAATCGAGTATAAATTATTATCATTAAATCTAAATAGATAATAAGATTTTTTTAAATAAGTTTTCTTTTCAATTATTTAACTGAGCTATAGATAATCTAGGAAAAATGTAATAATTCAAAAATTACAAAAGATAGTTTAACTGGATTTTTATGTAAATAATTTACAATAAATAGTAATTATTTATCTATTTTTAAGAATTGTAAAATTATATTAGGTTGATAAAATCTATTCTTACATAGATACTTCAATCAATAAAAAGCTGATATTTATAAATAAAATCTAAAAAATATCAACCAAAAGATTGAAAATAATTAAGAGAAAAGTGAAGATATTTTATTTAATAAGTTGCTAAAACAGGATTTAGTATTGTAGAATAAATACATCAAAAAGGATAATACTTCGGATATGATTAATAAAATCATTGATTCTTTGATGAATAGACTATTATATATGAATCAGCTAACAATAGTAACTCTCACAAGAATTTAACCAAATAAAATATTTATTCAATCAAGTTTAGAGTAGATAATATAATATTAAAGGCTTATAATTGATAGAGTAATAAAATAGAGATTAAGAAATTACATATTTTCTATTATGTTATTTTTAAATTATTAAATTCATTCCTCGCTTGGTTATCTACTACTACTATCAGTTGTATATCTTTTAGGGAAATAAAAAGGGGCACTTTGTTTTAATATGGAATCAGTATCATAATTATCGTTAAGAATTTTGTTATATGATTCTTGCCCTTCATTTTGTATTATCAATTGCTTTTTATGCTTTAATTCTTCTATTAACTAAAAAAGAATGAGAACAATATTACTGAAAACTCGTCTTTTTTAACTTTACATTTTTCATTAATTTATTCTAATGAACTAGCTAATCTAGCTTATAATAATATTAATTTCTTTAAGTATTATTCTTGTAATTATAAATTAGTTGACTATTTCTTATTAGCATTTAAATCTATTAATAATAATGGTTAATTTATACCTTCAGTTTTTGTCTCTAATTATTATGGAATATTAAGAGATAAATAAGCATTTTAATAAGAATGTAATTGTTCATTTAATTTAGTTTCTTATTCTTTGACTTCTGTATACTTCTGCCTTCTTTCAGATAATTTAATTTCATATTCACTTTTTCTATCTTTTTAAGCCATAAAATCAATGAACTAATTAGTCAAATTATAATTTTCTTTCTTAATATCAAAAACTCCTCCTTTAATCTTATAATATGAAGTTTCATATTATTATAATTTTTCTCTGAGCTGTTTCTCTTCTATTTCTTAGATTTCTTTATTTTTTTAATTCTTTGAATCATCTTCCTTTTTAGCTAACTTCTTTCTTAATTTTTTAATGGATTAATTAGCCCTTTCTGTTATTTTATTATCTCCTTCTTAAAATAACTTATCTAGATGTTTTTTCTATTATAAACTATCCTTGATTTAAAGAATTAAATTTCTTTAATGGTTTCTTTTTTCTCTATAAACTCTTAAAAATTCTTCAAATTATCTTTTAGCAAATTTAATATTAAGTTTACTTTTTTTAATTTCTTGTTCTTCAAATTTGATTAATTTTATAAAATTTCTAGTTAAGTAATTTAAATTTCTAATATATTCTTCATTTTATTATTTATTATCTTTACAAATTTTAAGTATTTTCTTAACTCTTGTTTTCATTTTATAACTTCTCTTTAAATCTTTTTCAGCAATCTCTGTTTATTTTTTCAAGATTTCTTAAGTTTATTTTAATCCATCCAAACTATTCATTTCTCTAACCAAGTATCCTTTATTAAAATCCATGATTTTTAAAAGTTTATAAGTTTTAGCCAACTATAGATTTTCATAACTAATCTAATCTAATTTCCCTTTCATCATTCTTAATTGTCCATTTAATAAATTCAATTATTAATTAGAATGACTTTAAATGGAACCTTTAATAATTGGGAATATTTCTGTAACTTTATAAGCATTATGTTGAACAGAAGAGGTCGAAAATTATTTGAGTCTTTCCTTTTTAGGTTTAATTTAATCAAGTAATTACATGGTTTATTTACCATCATTAGGTAAACTACTCTAAGTTAACTTAATTGATTTTGATTCATCATTTAAATGATTGGAATCAGTAAAATCAGATGTTATAAACATTAAATGAGAATAATTTGGTTCTGGAGAATTAGTCTATTTTACTTATGAATTTCTAGTTGATAATGGAGGCAATACAGAAATTGTAGATCTATCAAATCTTGCACTAGATATTGAACTAATTTCTAATTATTCTCTTTTTTATTTTTTCATTACATCATCTATATTTTTTTATTATAAAACAGAAATTTAAGGAATTATTTATAATTTAATTTCTTCATGATGTTTTTATTCATACATTTCTTTTTATTTTCTTTTTGCTTCAAGTGCTATTTTAAGTGCAGATTCAGTAAATGCATTTTCATCTTCAACACTCATATAATCAGTAGCTGATGAAAAACATTACTTAATAACAGTTGAATAATCACATTTTTTACTAATACTCATACAAGCCCAAGGAAATTAAATCCAAATCCATCTCTTATAATAATAATCAGTTGATTCCCTTTCATTATTTGATAAAAGATCTTCTGATAAGTTTTCTTCTTTAGTTTACAATATTTTTTTTAATTTTTAATCATTTTCTTCAGCCAATTAATCTACAGATTAAGGCACTTCTTCTTCATTATCTGTTGGTTCAATTGGTTTGCATAATTATTTTAAATAGTGAGATCTAATTTCTGCTCTATTTTAGGCAATTTCAACATTTAAAGATTCTTATTTAGATAATACTGGAGCTAATTATGGTTTAGCTACACGTTTTAAATGTTTATTTGGATCAAATTCTTTTAATTCTGGAGCTTTATCATAATATAAATCTAATTTCAATATCTCATACAATAATCCAATATCATATAAATCACTTAATAAACCAATAATAGGAGGATGTCTAAAGACTGGTGTATTTTTAGTTTCAAAATCACCAAATTCTTTTAGAAATCTTGATATTTGAATAATAATTCTAAACATATCTTCTGCATTTGGATGATAATGGATTTGAAAACCTTCAACAGCTTTGTTATATTCTAAAACTGGATCAAATCCATTTTCCTCTAAAGATTGCCAATATCTACATAAATCATATTTATTAGAAGGATTAAACAAGAGTAAAAAGTTCTCAATAATACTAATAACTTCTTTTAAAGCAAAGTAATTTCTTGCACTGAATAATTAAAATGTTTATTCTTCTAATTTTCGAATAGAATTAGGAGTGATTTTATCAATAGCTGTTGCAATTTTATCATGTAATTCTAAAATACTTTATACATTCTTATAATATTGATTGATAACCACTTTTTTAAATATTTCATTATGTATTGACCATAGATCTCTATGTTTCATTATGTAAACCTTAAAAAATACAAGAAATCTTTTCCAATCTTATTATGATATATCACAAACAGATTCTATTTCTGGATAAGTTAAACCTTTTTAAGTTAAAGCTAAAACTAGGAGTACATTTCTAAATTTATCTTTATCAATTAATTAAGCATTGGAGAAAAAATCTAATTAGAATTGAATCAAATCTTCTACAACTTTCATTGATTTAAAGTGATCAAGATTTAAGGAATTAAGAATATTTTCAATTAATATTGTATCTATTTCATGTTCTTCAACAACTCCTTCTGTTGGATAGGGTACAAAAACAGAAAAATAGGATCTTACAAATAATGGTTAATTTCTCACTTTATAATTAAGTTGAATGAATATATCTAAAATATGTTCAAATTTCTAAAAAATAAGAAATTTATTACTTAAATAAATAAATTCTTTCCCAAATGATTATTGACCATTTATTTCATAAATGCTTTATCAGAAACAATAGGAATTACTTAACAATCTGGTTTAAGTAATCGCATAGATGATGATTGTCTTTCAGCAGTTACAATAACTTTAATATTAGTAGGAAAGTATTTAGGTAACCAAAAATTGACATTAGCTTCTCTATGCATATCTAAGATCTCTCTAAAGTTATCTATACCCTCAAATACCAGTATAACCTTTAAGATAATTATATTAATATACTTTATCATATATAATTTCTGCACCATTAATTATTTATTGTTCTAATTATCTACTACATATTTCTAACCAATATTGAAAATAACGTCTTAACTTCTCTTCTAAAAGTTCCACTTTTTATTTAATATTCAAAGCTTCTCTCAATTTAATTAAAATTCTATATATGGCATAATAATAATTGCTATTTTTTCCTGATTAAGTTGCAAAATGAGGAATGATAAAATCAGGATATCGCTATTATTAAAAATGATCTTACTCCTTTTTTGTTTCTGGCATGATATTCCATCCATTTAACCAAAAGCGTTTTCTTTCCAATTCCATCATCTGCTTCTAAGACTAAAGGTGTATTTGTATGTAATGTTTTATCTTCTTCTAACCATTACTCAATCTCTAAAAAATATCTATCTAATCCAGTCACTTATCTAACCAATATAAATTTTTCTACTAATTTTTGTAATACTCTACAATCACATCGTTTGAGCTAGACTATCTAATTAAGATTACTCAACAAAGTTCATGTTTTCATTTCGCATTGATTCTAACTTGCTCTTACGATCAGGTGGAGTAGAGGCTTAACGTGAATATGCATCATCCATCTTTATTCTTAAATTATATTATATATATATATATTATATGTATACCAAACATTTAATACATATAAATATATTGAAACAATAACATCTATCAATAATATATAAATATTTAAATCATTATCTATTCTTAAGTTATTTCATCATTCTTTCGTTATCTTATTTTATTACTTATATCTATTATATTATTATAATTATTATACTTTTTCTTAAAGACTATTTAAATCATTTTAAGTTAATTCTGATTCATTTAATATTTATTATAATCTTTTATTTTCATCTTAAAGTAATTTCAATTTATCATTACATTCCTCATATAATTTCAATTTCATTTCTTCTTTTTGATATGATTATTTCAAAGCTTCTTCTTCTTTTCTACTTTTTATTAATTTCTCTTTTACAAGATCATTTTCATGTTTCTATTTCTATATTGTATTAACAACATTATTTGAATTTTTCAATTATAAATTTATTCTGTCATTTTCTAAAATTAAAGTTTACACTTTATTTTCCAAATCTTAAACCAAATCATTCAATTCTTATGTAGTATCAATCTTAATCTTTGTTTCCAAATCTTAGCAACGAACATTATAATTTTGGATTTCAGCCTTTATAACTGCCAATTAATTATAAGCCATCTTTCTATCATTTTAATATTTGACTATAAGATCTCTAAGTGCCATAACATCAGGTACTTTCATTAATTCTGCATTATCAAGTTGCAATTATTTATTCATCTAATTTAGTAATTTAATCTTATCATCCAATTCTTTTATTAATTAAGCTGATTAAACTCTTTATGCTTCTGATTCCAACTTCTAAATTTCTTAAGTCATTTTAACACTTTATTATTGTAAACATTTTAATTCTTCTTAAAGTGCAAATGTATTGGTATAATTAACAATTTTTTATTAGTTTTATTACATTAATGTTGGTTAAACAAAAGAAGATGAATGAGCAATTTGTTTAGGTTATTATTGTCCTTGTACTTATGAAAAATAATGTTATTATTTCTAATCTCTATTATTGGGAGATTAAAATTAAATTTAAGGAGACTAAAGTTAATGTTAAGGAGAAAGCAAATATGGTTGACGATTTTAAGGAGATTGCAAAATCTAAGTATTCTCATGTCTTTATTAAGGACTCATGGGAATAAATGGAGTAGTTTATGAATTAAATTAATTGGAATCATCCTTTTGTGGCTATCTTCCTCCTCCAACCTTGAATTATATCTTATACTCAGATGCATTTGGTGTTTATTAATGTGTCAATTACTTTGTTGGAGCCACAGGTTTATTAACCATTTCCATATCACTGGCTGTCTTTTACACTAAACTCTTATTCTCAACATTAGTGAAAGGTGAACGAACTTAGAATTGATTGTATAATTGTGTTGGATTAGCTATTTTAAATACTGGAATACTTTACCTATTTGTTTGTTTTTAGAGACTTAGAATTATTGCATGACTAACAGCCAAATTTTTATTAATAAGAAATTCAATAAATTGGGATTTAATATATATATATATAGAATCATTTATTATGATAACTTTTGGATATATTACAACATTTAGCAATGAATCCAGACATCTATAAAAATGTTGGTAATCCTTCTAAAATTCTAGCTTTAAGAAAAGCTATTTATCGTAGGAATTCAAATTAAAGATCTCTGTCTCCATTATGATTTTAGATAACTTTATTGAATGTATTAGTAATGTCATAAGCCATATAACCATCATCGAAAATAGATTTCATAAGTGATTAAGCAGGTTAAAATTCACCTTTCATCATATAATCTAAAATCTTCTTTAAATCATCCACATTAGGTACATCACATACCTTAAATACATTTTCTCTATTGACTAATCCAAATCCAGTAAATGTTGCTTATAAATTATTTATAGCTTATCTCATATCTCCTTCTGCTGTAAATGTTAATGCATCCAATCCATCTTTTGTATATGTAACACCCTCTTATTTTATTATCTCTAATAATCTATTCCTAATTTCAGTCTCACCCAATCTATTGAATCTCAATATACAACATCTACTTTGTATTGCATCAATCAATTTTGTTGAATCATTACAAGATAATACAAATCTTGTAGAATTTGAATAATCACTTATAATCATTCTTAATGCTTATTATGCACCTTCTGTTAAATTATCTGCTTCATCTAATATTACTATTTTATGTTATCCTTCCTATAAATTTACTTTCTTTTATGCAAATCCTTTTATTTATTCTCTTACAGTCTCAATACCTCTATCATCTGATGCATTCAATTCAAGTACACTTTCTTTTATTGAATCTCCCAATATTTATCTTGCTAAACATAGAACACTACTTGTCTTCCCTATTCCTGGAGGACCAACCAATATAATATTAGGTAAATTCCCCATTTTTGCTATTGCTCTTAGTTTATCAACAATATCTAAATTGCCATGTACTTCATCAAGAGTTTTTGGACGATATTTTTCTAACCAAATTAAATTGTTTTCCATTAAGCGCGGAATTTTAAAATATGATTAAATTTTAATCAAAATTAATTGATAAATCTGACAAGGAAAATTTAGGAATATTAATTAATATTAAAATGACAGATGATTTCTTTAACATTGACTTTGAAGACAATTGCCAACAATCCTATCAATATCAATTCACTAGTAGTAGAGATAGTGGCATGTCATCTGATGATACACATTAAAAAAATGTATAAATTAAGAAAAAAAACATTACTAAAAACTATGAACCAATCTATGAAAATAATATTGTATATAGATATGAAGATAATCCAGAATAATATAAGAAAATTAGAAAGTATATTATTATAATATTATTCAAAAGGAAACTTTAAAATAGAGAATCTGCTAATAGAGTTAGAGGAAGATAAAAGAATTATGTTTAAGATATGGAATAAGAACTACTTGATATAAAGAAAGAAAATCAAAATCTTTAAATGTTGAATGCAAAATTACATGCTGAAAATGTAGTTCTAAAATAATAAGTTGAATTTATGTAAAATCTAATTATTCAATCTCAACCTCATCAAAATGAAACCACATTACAAAGAGACACTACTAAAAATAGTCATTTAGCTACTTTAACAGCCTTCTCAGTTATACTAGGATTTGCATTTCTAAATGGAGGACAAATAGAATCAAAAGAATCCATCATGGGGGCTAAAGAACTATCAAATGATCCAATTATTTCTGATCCAATCATTGTCACTCATTCAATTAAACCTTTTTTATTAGGTTCTGCAATTTCTCTTTGGCTCGTATATGCTCTCTATGTTGTCTATAAAGTGTTTTTGAAAAATAAATTTAAAAAGAAAAAAGTTATTTGATAATATTTAATTATAATGATAAAATTATCAATATTTTAAAATAATTTAATAGAGGTAGATTGAATAACAGAATTCTTATAATCATATTGGTAGATGGCAAATATAGATAATATCTAATATCCTTTATGGCTAATGATTTTAATAATAAAAACATAAGAAATCAAAAATATTATAAAAGACTCATTAATAAGTTAAAAATAGATCAAATATATTGGTCTTGGATTTTAATTTAATTAGGAGATTTTAATTATGAGTGCATTTACAAGATAATCAAAATATTTTAAGAAATTTCAAAATAATAATTATTATGTTTCACAATCATAATTGAATAATAATATATTTGGATTCTTAATTAATTATTAGGATTTTATTAACATTATTGTGTTTTTAATTGATAAATTATATTAAATGATTTTGGGTTCAACTATAATTTTAATTTTATTAGGTTCTATTTTAGCATCATAAACGATATTAAACAAATTTTAAGATTGGAAAACTTAATTTAACAAAAATTATTAATCTAAATATGAAGAAATATATAGATTTTAAGTATATAATGAAAATTTTGAAATTATTCAAAAACATAATTTAAACAATGAATACTCCTATACTTTAGGAGAAAACTAGTTTATGGATCTGACTAATGAAGAATTCTTAGAAATATATGCTTCTAAAAATTATATGGAAGAAATTTCTGATTCAAAAATAAATTCTGATATAATACTTACAAATTATACAGGAAAAAAAGTGAATCTTTATGATTGGAGTGATTATTGTATGTGGCCAAAGGATTAAGGTAACTGTGGAGCAGGTTGGGCATTTGCAACCGCTGAAATTATGGAATGTTATTTAATTATCTAATCTGGATCAGCATATTATAGAAAATTGTCACAATAATAATTTATTGATTGTGTAGATAGGAATTATGGTTGTGAAACAAGATCAATGGATGATATAGTTAATGCATTTGAATATGCAAATGAAGTACATATTTCTGAATTAGATTACTATCCTTAAACTGGAAAATAAGATATATGTAAAGGGACAAGAGGATTACAAACATTTACAATTACTTAATTTGAAACTATTTAAAATGACAAATTTACCTTAGTGGAGTCTCTTATCTATGGACCTATTGTAGCAGGTTTTGATATTAGTGGATGGCAATTCTACAAGGATGGAACATATGATTGCTTTTTAGATAAGAAACCAAATCACCATGCTATTATTGTTAAGGCACTTGCTTTTCATGATAAGGAAGACAAAGATTACATAGAAATCTAAAATTCTTGGGGATCTAATTGGGGTAGGAGTGGATCAATTAAATATAGTTTAAAATATAATTGTAATGTCTATGATAGACCAATATATAGATCATTTAAAGTATAAGTGCATTGATATATCAATATATGAATATTATTATTAAAATTGGGTCAGAACTATATATGTCCAAATTTTACATGAATGTTCTATTCAGGATATTATTTTTTCTCTATATCTCTCTAAGTTCTTTTCTCTACACCTAAAACTTTAAGAAACCTTTCAATGCAATTGAAATCTGCAATATGATATTTGTTTGATTTCAATCTAATTTTAAAATTAAAATAACCAGTCATAACTATTTAAATACTATAATATAAAAATCATAATTGGTCTTAAAACTAGTTATTATGAATGTTATTAATTATTTGAATATTCTCAATAAAATAATTCATATATTTGACAATAAGGTGTCCAAATTACTATAGATTTACTATCACTACTTAGTGCTCCACAACAATGATCCAATCTACTCGATTTATTTTTACCTATTGGATCTGATGACAGGATTATCTCCTGATTTTTAGAAAGTGATACTATATACACATGTTAACTATGACCAAAACATACTACACCATTTTAGATTTGGGAAATTGGAAAATCAAAATTATCATTTGCACTTGGAAATAATTTGATCTTTTTTTATTTTTACTCTACAAATAGGTCTTATTTTAATTAAAAAACATGAACATATTCTGATACCAAAATCAGAATATCTTAAGTTAAAAATGATATTTTTTTCCCAAAGTTATCAATTGATTACTTAATTATATATTTAAACTACCAATCTTATTAATCTTAAGTTTTCTACTAATAATTTTTAGTCCAAATTATTATTTTTTTATCTTCCCCACATGATGCTAAAGTTTATTAATTTTAATTTAAGGCTAATCCTATCACTGATTTTTCGTGTTTCTTAAGCGAATATTGGAAATATATTCTATTATTATTTAATTTCAATTCCCAATAATTTATTAAGCCATCAGAACTTGCTGAGAATAGGTATTTTTAATATGAATTTTCATTTTAAAAAATCATAAAATTAATTTTATCTGTGTGATTATGATATTGTGGCGATTCTTAATGAACATTTGATAAATTTTGATTCTATTATTCAATATTGTTATAAATATTCAGTTATAGTTATGGCTTTAATATTGTCCAATATTACAATTTCCCATCATTATAGCCAACTATAAATGAGTTTTGGACTTAACAATCAACAAAACAAGTTACATATTGTTTTTTTGGTAACCATAGTATTTTCTTCAAGTGTTAATTTTTAAAATAATTTATTTCAATACAATTATTAATACCTCTTAACACTAATTAATCTAATTTAGTAATTAATACACAATTTGGTTTAGTATTAAGATCAAACCACATAGTATTTTAAGGCAATTCTTTCCAATATACTTATCTTTAAATTTACATTTCAATATCTTTTTATTAGGCATTATTTTTTTTTTTAATTTTTAAATGTTATTCTCTAATTTTTTACATTTCAGTCGATAATTTTGTTATTAAATTTTTTACAAACTCAAGTATTCTACCCTATTAATTACCTATTTGAAATTGTATAATAGATTAATCCTTTTAACTTAATACTAAGCATAAATCTTAGAAATCTTTAATTTAAAAACTATGTTATTTTGATAATTGGCATATGAACTCTATAATTAATTTTTATTCTTCACTTATAAGTGAAAATGTTAATTCATTTAATTATGAGAAAAATGAATATTAAAGTTCTTTTATCAAATCTAGCCAATTTTTTTAAATTACTTTTTTAAATTTACGAGAATTAGATTATAACTGCTTACTCTGATCTACAAAATACTAATCCAAGTTTTTTATAAATTCCTCTATTGATTCACCTTTACCTTTACATTTCCTACAGTTAACTCGTTAATCCAATGGAATATTTTTTTAAATATTTAATGAACTGACAGGTAAATTATGGGATTTACAAATAACATTTTCAAAGTTCTAAATAATTATAAATAAATACATTTTATAGTTTTTTAGGGTATTGCTCAGTTGATTTGTATGAATCCCAAAATATATTCATGTTTTAAGAAAATATTTCATTAAATTAATTGTTCATAGCAAAGTTATTAAGAATTGTATTCAATTATTTGAATTAAATCTAAAGTCTTTTATGAGTATAGGAATCAATTAATATCATTTAGGAAACTATTTAGAATATTTTATTTTTGATCCAATTTTCCTCATTATCACTCATTTCATCTAATACATCTAAAAATTTCTTATTCTCTATTGAAAATTCTTATTCTTTAATATTAGCAACCCAATCATCAATGCTTGAAATCAAAGAATTATATATATTTGTAGTCTAGTTCTTAGCCTCTTCAATTTAAATCTTCCAATTATTCAGCTTTTAAATTTCATCATTAATCATTAATTTCATTTTTGTATTCAACTTTTAGTTATTTAAGTCCACCATTTCTAAAGCTTTCTTGTATCCAATCACAGTACCAAAATGTTACTATTCTTCTATGCATTAAGAGCATAAATATCTATCTTAAGGTTTTAGTTTTGGATTTAGAATTATTTGGATGATAGGAAGATTGTGATTTTTTGAGCATTAATTATCCATCATAGAATTATATTTAATTTATTAATAAAATTATAATTAATAATATATATATATAATGGATTAAATATTGTGGAGTATTAAGTTTTTTTAATAAAAAATCCTGGTTTTAAGTAATAATTTATTTTCATAACACTCCAAGTTGTAATAGCTTCATTTTTAAGTTGATTCCATTATTTTCTTATATTATTGGCAGCATCATACATTTATATTCTTTAAATCAATGATGTATATATATAAATGAATTTAGTTATGAAAAAGCCTTAAATAAATCATAATTTTAAATCAGCATTTGGTTTAAATGAAAATTTTCAGTTAAATTATATATCCATTAATGGTAGAATTAAAATTTTAGTTTTCAAAAATCCGAAAAAAATCTTCAAAAAAGGAGATAATACATTTGTTGAGGGATTGTCAAAATCTATATAAAATTAAGAAGATCTAGACTTCTCTTTCATTTAAAAAATTTAACTATTTTAGAGAAATATTTATTAAAATTTTTAAGCAAAAATAATATCCTTTTAATGATATTAATAAAGAATTATAAAAGAGCCGGATTAATTTTTTGTTTTTTGATGAAAACAATATGATTGATTAATTTAAATGACAAGAGTTTTTAATTCAAAATAAAATATCCTTGCATTTTATTAATTTTCATATTCTAATTAAGTATAATATATTTCAGATAAAACTTATTTATTAGTTTTAAGAATTGTTAGATGTTTAGATTTTTATTAAAATTTCAATAACTGAAAAACATTTAAAAGTTGAATTTTTATTATTATGTCAAAGACATTATTTTTTAATTTACGACAAATTTTTCATAATAAATATTCGAAGATTTAAATTTTTAATTGAAAATCCAAAAACAATATATAAGTACTCAATGCTTAAATTTTGTGTGATTTTAGTCATTTTTGCAATAAGTTTGAATTAATGTCAGAGAAACTTTAGATATTGTTCGAGAAATAATAAAATAAAAGCATTAACGAGAGGCTATTACAAAAATGTGATGAGTTATGATGCAAGTCCTCTCTTAACTAGTCGAAAATAAAATTTGTTTGTAGGTGTTGGAAAAGAGATGGGGATTCTTCTTAGAAATGAAATTTATTCAGCCGATTCTAATAATCGAGGGACATATATGAGTTTAGGCAAGTCAATAATTATAGAATTACTCTAAGTCTATTAATTAAATACATTAAAACTGATGTTGAGGAATGGAAATGTTAGAACCTATGATTTTATAGTTTATGCATCAGATTCCAATAAAGAAATAAAAATATTTGATTCAATCACTTACTATATTGAAGTTGTCACTATAAAATTTCCAAATTAGTTTGTCAAATATTTTCGAATTTATAACCGAGGTGGAAATTCAGATGCTGCTTTTATTCATATAATAAAGGCTGAAGCTTACTTTAAGTTTTGAGAATAAAAATAGTATTTACATTCTTCTTATTTGATATTTAATTCTAAATATTAAAACTATTTTAATTTCTCTCATATCTCATTAATAAAAATAAAAATAGGAATATTTGAGAGAATATAAAGATAATATATTTATATTTTAAGATTTTCAATTTTTATGAATTTAATAATGAATTGAAATAACCCAAAAAAAGAATTCGATGATCAATAAATTTTATAATTATTTCATTATCAAAAATTAAAATGAAATTTGAATTATAAGTATAAAAATATCATTTACTTTTATATATATAAATGATAGAAAACATCTAATCCTGAGTTAAAACTATTTATATTTTTGTTAATGTGCTTCCAATCTTTTTAGCCAATCACTAAATTATGAACAATTTATGGAAAATTTAATTCCAAATAGACTTACTGTAGAATTTAATGCTAAAAAACAATGATTGATGATATATTTATTAACTGTCCATTCTATTTATGAATAATGGATCAAAATTCTGCTTGATTCCTATTGACCTTCTTATCGATTGAGTTGAATAGGTAGTAGATTTAAAAGAGGATTATCAATAAATTTCAGTCTCTTTTTGTAATAACAGGAACTGTTATTTTTAGAGTTTGTGTGTTCCTTCATCCATATTTTTACGAAACGTGCTGATTTTTGGAGATGGAAATATGAAGTTGTACAAATTATAAATTTATTTATAATAGCTCATAAACTAATTGAGTTTAGGAGTGATAAATTTATATCTAATTCTATTATTAAAATATTTATGAATAATTAAATCACTGGCACTTTAGAAATAAAAAACTAATACCAATAACAATTTGAGCAAATCTAATAACAATGTCAAGAAGCAAAAAACAAATTAAAAAAAGCTTTTTAAGAAGGAGTTGCAATAACAATTTCTTTTTAAGAAATTATGACTATTTATAAGTAACTTTTATTTTTAAAGCTAAGCAATATATATCATTTAAGTAATTAAGCCAATACTCGAAGTCCTAATAACCTTAATAAACATAATGACTTTAATAATGTTGATTTATAATTGATAATATATTTTGAAGATCTTTTGAAAGAATTCATTAATGAAATTTATTAATAAGTTAATGAATTGAAATGGGAAAAAGAGAGTGTATAAATATCTAAATTATATTCAAGGTACTCTTTATTGTTACAAAACATATCATGACTACAAAGCTTATTCATATTGGCTTTATAAAATGTTCTATTATTTGGATTATTTTATTATGCCATGTCATGGGAAAACTATCTTTAACACGTCTTTAAAATTATTTAAAGCGGAATATTTTGATAAATGCAATTAGCTGATTCTGAATACAATTTTATAGTTTATATAGGAAACAAGAAAGAATGGAATATTATTGAATAAAAAAATCAAACAACTCATCTAAATGTATTCTATTATGGGTTCTTAAACAGTTGAATTGAGGTATATGCGAGAATCTGGAATATATGATTATATTTGCAAAAATAAAAAGGATGCATAAATATTCTACGAAGAATAATTTTAATCTCATTTTTTATTAGAAGTAAATTTTTTTCTATCTTTAGACTTAAAAATATTATAAGAATGAAGTAGATGATAAATTAAACTTAACTACTATCGAGTTTATAAATTGGGCAAATTCAATCTTCAAATTAGAAATGGATATGTGTTTGGAATGCTATCCAAATAGTTATTAAGCATTAATTCAACAATTAAAAATGATACTAGTCAGTAATCAAGCAGCTAGATTAGTTGATTCCCCCACAGGATTAGCTTATATGTTACAATATGACTAGACCGATTAATTAAAACTTTTATTCAAATATATAATTCAAATTGAGGAATGCATAATTCATATATCAAAGTATTTTGAATAAAAAGGATAGAGTTTTAATAATTCGGTTGATAGTTAATAATAAATAGATGAAAAAAGTAGTTATTTAAATTAATTTTTAGATGAAGCTGAACTCTATTTCACTAATATACTAAGATTAATGGAAAAAACTTAAGATATTTTATAAAATTAATTGGAAAAAGAACCTGAGGTCAAAAATTTATACAGTAAATCATTAATGTATTTGACGAATAAACATAAAAAATCTCCAAAATTTTTAGCCATATATATTGATATCATCATAAGAAGAGAGAAAGGAATAAATGATATAGAAACTGATAAAATGTTGACTTAAATTATTTGTCTTTTTCAATTACTTGATCAACGAGATATTTTCTTTTAACATTATTAAAAACTATTATCCAAAAGATTGCTCAATATTTATTTATAAGATCTATAATTAGAGAAGTAAATTTTGTCAAAATTCAAAGGAGAAACTGGTACAAATATTCAGTAACATTTTGAATTATTTTTAGAACTAAATTATCCACCATGATTTAAGATATAGAAGAATCAAACAGATTTGCCATTGATTAATAAATCAGCAAAGATATCTAATTTGAATTTAATGCGATTTTGATGACTTCTAACTGTTGGCCTAAATTTGATATTTTTGAAAATATCATTAAGCCACTTAAAATTTAGAATATTTTGGAGTATAGATTTACTTATTGTTTTTAGGAATTACGAAAAATTGTATGAAGTTAAATTCAAAAATAGAATAGTCAAATGGTACTATAATTTAGGGCAGGCTGAATTGATATATAAAATATAAACAGAAAAATACTTCTTGAATGTGAATACAATGTAAATGATTGTTTTCCTTTAATTCAATAAAGCAGATTCATTCTCTATCAAAAATATCTTGGATTTGACAAATATTGATAAGATAGTTTTAGAAAATTCATTGATACCTTTCATTTGTAAGAAGATAATAACAAGGGAAAAATCGAAAATTGAAGATTTTTCAGATGAAAATGAAGTTGTAAAATTAAACAAGGATTTCACAAAAAGAGCCAAAAAAATTAAATTGTTTCCTAATCACAATATGTTGCCAAAAAGAGCTGTAAAGCCAATAATTTAAATTTCTAGCATGATGAAAATGAGGAGAATTAACAATTAAACTAGCAAAGAGAATTAGTTGTGGATTCTTAATTGATAAGATTGATGAAAATAAAAAAAACAATTGATCATCATGAATTACTTTAAAAGTGCTAATCTATGATTTCTATTTTTAAACCAGATTAATAATTCATCAATAATAGAATAGAAAGTTTGATTGAGAGATTTTACGTTGCAAGAGATAAAAAAAATTTGTATTTATTGATTATATCAATTCTTTAGCAATGTTTATCATTATCAGAATTGAACATTAGAAAATTTAAGTATTAATTAAAATAAAATATATTTAAAATACAATATATTTAAATCTGAATTACAAGGAAAATGGTTTGTACAGAAGATTTTGCTTACATAAGAAAATGTGCGATTCAATTTTTAAGTATCTCTTTCATTTTCGATATAAATCTTCAGGAGTATTTGTTCAACTTTTCCTTCTTTACTTAATAAATAGGGATATAAATATTGCAGTAGATTATTAATATCTTAAGTAGTAATCGTTTCAAACAGGATAAAATTCTAAAAACCCTTTTTGAGATGAAACCTTCATTAACAAGCAGTAAAAATGAATAATTTTTCACCATTTTATGGATGTTGCATCATACTGATATGAATGGAATTATTCGAACAATTGTTATTTGTTTTCTATATTTCTTGAATAAATCCCTATTATACTATTAAAAATTTGGTAGTTAAATATAAAGTTTAAGATCTATTGTGAGAATAGCCTTCGCAATCTCAAGTGTATTCAACATATTCTTTGCTTTGGAGCTAATGGTAGATTACAACAAACCAAAAATTAATGTTTTGATAATCATATCATTAATTCTAAGTTATTTTTATTTTTTAAGTGAGAGATTTTTATATATTTACACTACTATTTAATCCTCTATTAATTTTAATAAGAAAAACATAAAAATAGTATTAATTCAAATGAAAGGTTTTATTAAATCCATTTCAAATTTTAATAGATAGATAGCTTAATAAAATAATTTATCAAGTATATAAAATATAAGTCTACTGAAAGATTTAAGTTATTTAATAAATGATAACGATGTGATTTGTGATTTAATTGCGATTATTATAAAAGGATTAAAAAGTTTCTTTCACTTTTTACAAAATTTTGTATTTTCCGAAAAATACAATTAGAAGAGTTATGAATAGTTTGCTAGTTTAACTTATTTAATTATTTCAAGTGTATAAATGTTTAAAGAGATATTTGAAATTAGTATTTAATACTAATTAAATGAGTTAAATGAACCTTATATTCAAATCCATTAACCTCTCAAAAGTTTCAGTTGAATTATTAATATTCTTGATAAAAAATTTACTATTACACTTTTGGATTGGCATTTCCTGAGGATGTATTCAATTTCATACATAAATTATTAAGGAAATTATATTTTTTAGTTTTTGTAAAAGATTCAAATACTATTTAGGTTGAATATTATTAACAACTATAATTGTTACAAACCACTTGTTTGCATATTATGTAAATGTAATCTATGAACAACAATCACTACTTGCAAAATCAGAATCATTTTTATTTAAACTTAAATCAGAACATTATAAATCTGAACACTAATTTTACTTCAGCTCAAATTTATTGTAATATCTCTATAAAAGTAATTAATGGTTGAGTTATTCTTGAATGTAGAAATTAGAATACCTTAAACTAATAGACAGAACAATCTGTAAAATTAAGCAACTTAAATGACACAATGCATACACTTTTACTTTGGAAAAATTTTGTTCTGGATTTAATAGTAGTTTTATCTTTGAGCAGTCAATTGATTTTAGAATATCATCTATCTATGGCACAATATGGAATATTAGATAAATAGAAGTTTAAATGCTTTCAATCATAATCAATAATCATTTAATCCATTCCTACGCGAATATTAATATAAAATTAAGGAGATTTTTAATGCTTATATTTATTTGGTATGTAGAGAAATTGAGGTTAGCGTAGACCTAGCTTTATATTTTAAGATTGAGGTTTACCATCATCAAAGCATTTTAAGAAACTATCTTTCAAAATATGAAACTGATCTTTTTCTCCATTGTATAATTAAACAATTTATATATTTAATCAAATATTTCAGTATTTGAAATATTTAGATATTCAAATGTTTATTAGGTTTATGATAATTCAAAATGGATTTGAATTAACAAACCGTTTAATTTTATTGAATTAATAATTAAGAATATTATTTTTGTTCAAATATTTGAGTGAAAATAGATAAAAGTATATATATTGTACCATAACTTACTTCCAATCTCGTAAGGGTTTTGTCTTGTATTCAACCAATAACATCGCTAGAAAAGTCCTCAGCATCATCGCTTAAAACCTTGTTTTGAAGATCATAAATATTTAAAATTTAATAATATATATAAATCATAATATACAACTTTTATTGAATACTATAATTTATATTATACATCCTTTTAGTAATTAAAATAGCGAAGTTAGTATACATATATAATAAATAATACATAAATTGCTCAAAGATAGTGAATTTTTCTTAAAAGATTAGACATAAGTTGAAATTCAGATTGAAATTAACTTTCTATATGGCTCTTGCGGAAATCTTCTCTTTTTCAAATATTTATGAATTTTTAATTTAACACCACATCGTAATTACTGATTATCTAATATAATTAATTTCTAATTTTAGTAAAAATTTAAAATTACTTGTTGATTTAAATCTTCATTTGAAGAATAAATCGCTCATATTTAAAGTAATGATTTACATTTTCAAATGTGCTTAATCGCTTTCATATAAATATATAAATCCATTTAAAACTTATTATTCTGGGATATACAAATTAAAAATGATAAATTTAGAGCTTGCTTCAAATTTTTTAATAAATATAAGCTCATTTATCTCTAATCTTTATGTTAAATTCTTAGAATTCTAAATTAATATAATTTAGATTTTGTAAATGATAAACTGATTTTGATTCGAAAATATAAAATGATCATTATTAAAAAAGTTGTCGTTTGAAATAAAATAAATTTGTATATCAAAATGGAAAAGAGTTAGATTACCTCTTGTCTTTGTCTTGATCAGAAATCATTTATATCACCTAGATTAGCAAACAAAAATCGTGATGATTGCTGTCAGTTATTTGAGAACTTTAATAAAATAAATATCATCTAAAAAAATCCTAAACCTTATGATCCAAACTGTTTTATATTTTCTCAACCTCAGGTTTAACAAAATAATAAAATGACATAGTCAAAGGAGTTCTTTTTAATGTGCTTAGTCCAAGTGAATTATAAAATCAATTTAAAATAGAAAAAATAGAATTAGAAGAATGATTTTATATTGTATAGTTTATGATAAATATTCAATAACAGTGATACTCATGTATTTATTTTTTAAAAGAAAAGTATATTTCAATTGAGAATATATTAATCGAATCGAAATGTATTCTTAAAAAATTCTGAATATAAATATATCAAGTTAAAATCTTTTATTTATTATTTTTTTATTTTAATAATAAAAATTGTTATAAATAAAAGAGTTTCTCTTCAATCTATTAATATTTTTTATTACTTACTTAATGAAAATTCTGGTTCAATTAGCGAAGCACTCTCTCAAATTTGCTCAAGTATGATATCAAAATATAAATATTTTTAAAGAATATATTTTAGACTTTTTCTCTTATTATTATTAGTGTTCATCAAGTAGTTTAGAGGTAAAACATTGCCCTGTAGCGGCAGAGATCCGAGTTCAAGTCTCCGGGTTGGTGATTTTTTTTTTTTAATTAAAATTATTTGAATACAGATAATTCTTAATTTTAAATTTCAAATTTTCGGAAATATTGGTAGTTTTATATTTTATATCAATTATTTTTTAAGTATGAGCAAAACCAAAGATTTTTTATTTTATTTATTACATTTTTGTATATACATTAATTCTATGATCTAATTCTAAATTGTAAACTTAGATCTCCTGTTATAGACTTTTTCATTTCTAATTCTAATATGCATCTACTCACATAGCAAATTAACAAATTATTTAATTCCAATTCAACAATTATTATTAAACTTAGAAGTATTTTAATTAAATTTATATAGGAATTAAAATGGTTTAAAAAATGTTCTATCATCTTATGTCATCCAGTTATTTGTAATAAAGAATTCAGAGATTTCAAAACAATGTGTTTGTGGGAATACTTGAAGTGAAAATGAATGTAAAAGTTCAGGTTTTTGTTTTTGGGAGAATGATTTTTGTATTTTAAATTCCAGCTGATTATACAATACTGAGATTAATAGTTAGAATCTATGCAAAAATTACCAATAAGAAGATTGTCGAGAATAAGAGCATTGTGGATTTTATTAGGTTAATGTTAAGACTTCATATATTGCAACATATTGGATAAAGATAATTGTTAAGAATCGTCATATAAATGTGTATCAGATGGCTCAAAGTGGGTTTATATGTTAGAATGTAGTGATTATAAAACAGAGAATGGACGTGCGGATAAAAATCAGAATGGTAATTATTGCTTTAGGCTTGTGGTTACAAAGAAAAAATGTACAAATGTAAATTTATATGAAGAGTTACCAATATATTTAACAAATCATAGCATACCCAACGAAGGTCTTAAAGGGCGTACAATAAACAAATAAGGTTACGGATGTATAGAATAAATGGAGTCATGTTCATAATATGCTAATTATTTTTTTATGTTTAAAAAGAAAGATAATTTTTTTTGGGATGTAACAAAAGTATAATGTGTTGAAAATGTTGCGAAAATCTACCGTTTATTTAGGATTATGAATGCAAGTCATATTTAAGTGATTGTACAACTAATGAAATTCATTGTTTAAGAAGGAAATAATTTAGTGATGCTTAGAATAAGTTTGGTTGTATATCAGATGCTTAAATTTATTTTATCATATTTTAATATGAAGGTCAGATTTCAATAAGATCTGATTGAACAGAGCAATGCTCTGACCGATGTCTAAA